CTTGAGTACCATTGATTCTCTAATGGACAGTGATTCATAAAACACATTCATGAATCGGAGCTCCTACTGGTCCAAGTACCGAATCAACCCTCAAGAGAATTATTTATCTACTTCTTTCTTAAGAAGGAATGGATTCTATCTCGTGTAATAACATTCCCGGCTACCTACTTCATCATGAAATACAAGGAATAGGATTCAGGATCTCAAAATCCGTACCGAGTAAATCAAAAGACACAAATCCATAAATAGGAGTCTGTTAAGAACTCAGGATTAAGATCATCCTATATATGACCATCGGTAGACTCAATTAGAATTTCTATACTTAACGAAATTATTAGAAATTCATATTGTGTCTGTGTCCTTGTTCCAGATAATCTCATTATGCGAAATACACTCATTCAATATCTCACCATATTAACAGTGCGGATAACATCATTCCATTCTAAATGGGAATGACATGTATTAATAATGTTTTAATTAAAGATTCTGAACTTTAATTAAATTCATTATGAACATTGCTTTTTGATTATTATCCTTAAACATTATCCTCTCGTATATAACACTTATATACAATGTTTAAGGTTACATAAATAATCATGGAATTTTCATTGATATTCATAAAATATTCATAAATATATGCACATAAAATAATGAATAAACTCTTTTATTAAATAAATAATAAATATCTTACTGCATCTCATGCTTTTAGAACACCATTCCCAACAGTTACATCATTCTTAAATTTTAAAAAAGCGTTTACAATTAAATCATCTCTAATTCTACTTTTTATATACACATTTTTAAACCACGTACATTTTACTTATTACACTCCTTAAAAATTTCAAAAAATCTTTTCTTTCTTGTTCTTATCCTCCCACGGATCAAACTTATCCATAGATATTGAGTTCTATAAAATTAAGAAAAGTTAGAAAATAAACGAAACTCGTAATTACATGATGTCCCCTGTATAAAACAAATATCATACAAATAAAATATAATCCCTAACGACAAAATAACTAGAAAACCACAAAGTGCAGCCATAAAAATGTTGCATGAATGCCGACGGAAAGTTTAATACTGAACGAGTATCAAACACTATCATCGTGCAGTATTTCCACATATCAAACCCTAAAGATGATCAAACCCTAAATATATTGTGATTTGTAAATAGATATATGCAAAAAAAAAAAAAAAAAAAAAACAAAGACTTTTCATGTTCAATCACAGTGAAGTTTGCATGTCGGCGTTAGTAAAAAAATTTCTCTTCAAAAATTCTTTCACGAATCACGACTCTTTCAGAACTAATAATATAAATAACCATCAAAATTTAAATTTAAAATAAAAAAGAATTTTAAGAAAAAAATTTAATACGTACCTTTTGTGGGGAAACTCTTTCACGTTAAAATTCATCCATATTCTTCTGAAAAAGTAGGCCACAGTAAATTTTAGAAGATAATATATTTTTTAATGGTGGGGTGTGTAATGAGTATTGTTTTTAGAATACTATTATCCTTAAAAATAATTTTATTAATGAGTATTTTAGTGATATGAAAAATGGTGCATAAAAAGTAAAAAAAAAAAAAAAGTGTGTCAATAGACGCACTCTAGTTTTTTTTTAGTTTAAATATGAAATGACAAAGATTGATCTTTGTCATGAAATCTCATGATATGCATCTGTATTTTTAAATAAAAATCTAAAATAGATTTTAATTCTTATTAGTTTAAATATGAAATGACAAAGATGCCCAATTATATTAAATAGAAAATAAAATCATAAAATTTATAATGTCTCTCTCTCTCCACACTCTCCCTATCTCCTTGCGCTCTACACTATAAATCCAGCTTTTATAAATAAATACACTATGTGTTCTGATGATAAATCTTAGAATTTACGAACACACAGAAATCGTGTTCTAATGGTAAATTCTAAATTTAGGGTGTAAATTTAGAATTTACGACTAACACAAATTGTATTCTGGTGGAAAATCCTTAATTTTCCGTACGGTAAATCTTAGATTTACTACCAGAACTAAAAAATGTTTATATTATATTAGTAAAGTTAATATAATCCAATAATAGTAAACCAGAATTTACCGTGTAAATCAAGAATTTATGAATAAGCACAGTATGTGTTCTGATGATAAATCCTAAATTTACCATGTAAATTCAAGATTTTCGAAGGAACAAAAATTGTGTTATGATGGTAAATCTTAAATTTACACTGTAAATCCATAATTTACGAATAACACAATATGTGTTTTGATGATAAATCCTGGACTTATGGTAAATCTTAGATTTATGAGCATAAGTAAAAAATGTTTATCTTATATTAGTAAAGTTCTAAATTTACTATGTAAATTCAGAAATTGTGTTATAATGTTAAATCCTAGATTTACACTATAAATTCAGGATTTACAAAGAAACACAATTTGTGTTGTGATGGTAAATACTAATTTACACATAAATTCTAGATTTATGACTGGCGATGGATGAGAGAGAAGAGCATACCTATAAACGACAGATAGAGAGAGAAGAGGGAAAAAGAGATCTAAAGGGCAAGAGGAAAAAAAAGAAAATGAAAAGGAGAAAAGGTAAAATTGAAAATGAAAATTTTAAAACATAAAAGGCCTATTAGTTCATATACCACTACAAGAAAAAGGGCTTTTCGTAGCAGTTAGTTATAGCGTTTTTCAAAAAACGTTACTGCTTTAGTCTATAATAGTGTTTATAAAGAGTTATAATATATATATATATATACATATATATTAAAATTTGTTGACATTTTGACTGATTTGTTTTATATATATTTAAAAATATATAAATGTACAGATTACAATTACATTGGGCGGGCATTGGAAACATCCAGTCTATGGCATATGCGTCTTGGACATCCATCACCATCTCGCCTTAGCTTCTTCATTGTTACCTTTAAATGATATTTCACTACAACAAAAAAAGGCTTTTGATAGCGTTTAGTTATAGCATTTTTGAAAAAACGCTATTAAAACTTACTTTAATTACATTTTATAGCGTTTTAAAAAAGTTATTTTCGGTAGATATATATATATATTTATATTAAAAAAACATGAAATATTTTAGCGGATTTTGAAAGTAGTTTCCCCCCAAATTTTCATTTTACTCGCAAATGTTTTGGAAGCTTTCAGATCAAAATTAAAATTTACCACTGCATGAGAGAAAGAAGTAGAACGCGGGTAAGTTGTGGAACTGAGAGAGAAGAGCTTTGAAAGCAAAATCTACAAGTGGGATACGACCATAAACCATTCTCAGAGCACAGCTATCCTTTAGAAATCAGCCCCACAAACGAACATCACACATTCGACCACCAACTGCCATCTCCCCATCTCTCTCTCTCTCTCTCTCTCTCTCTTCCCAAATTCTCTTCTACGCTTATTCATCAGCGTTAAAAGAGAGAAAAACGTGAGAGACTCACGACGAAAGAAGAAATGCGCCGCCGTCGATTCCGACCACCTCTGGCCAACCCATAGTGATCCGAGATCAAATCCAAGAAGCCCATGAGGTGATCTACAAAACCCCCATCCCCATGCCGCCCGATTCCCCGCCCCGATTCCCCGCCGATCGGTATTTCAGTTTGAAATTCCCGGCCACCGCACCTTCCAACGCAACGGAAGAAGAAATGCGCCACCATCGATTTTGACCACCTCTGGCCAACCTACAGTGATCCGAGATCAGATCCAAGAAGCCCATGAGCCGATCTACAAAACCCCCCATCACCACGCCGCCCGATTCCCCACCGATCAGCCAGAATTTCAGTTTGAAATTCCTGGCCACCGCACCTTCCAACACAATTTTCGGCGCCTTCTGACGTCTAATCCTCCGAAAAGTGCTTTCTTTGGACTCCTCTCGTCGAGCTGAACAAATCCATACCAATTTTTCTGCCATTGGTCGTCGGAATAGTTTCGACCACCTTTGGAATAGTTTCTGAAGTTGAACGCCATTTGTTACTTCATTTGCCAGATTCACTTGTGTAAAAGGTAATTCATCCTTTCTCTTGGAATTTCATTCAAATTTCTTGTTTGTTTGTTTGTTTAAGTTTTGAACTGTATTTTATTGTTTAGGTTTTCGAATGGCAGCTGAATGTGCCCGTAAAGCCCTGCTGGAGAAAGTCGTGGATAATAAGACCGATTCTGGTATTTATTGCTGTTTAGAGCCTATATCCATTTTTTTTAGCCTTTTGTGGAGTGTCCTTTAATATGATTGTTAAAAAGTTATGTCATTAAGTAAGCTTTCTTTTGTAATTCTAAAGTGATGTTCTAGGCCTACGTTATTTTCATGTTCAATCCTGGATAAGGCATTTCTTTTTCTGATAGCCTTACTCATGTAATTTTTCTAAGATTGCAAATGCTGGATTGTGTAGAGAAATTCAAATCAGACTTGATGAAGATTGCAAGGACTACTTTGAGTTCCAAAATTCTCTCACAGGACAAAGAACATTTTGCTAAACTTGCTGTGGATGCTGTACTACGACTTAAGGTAATTCATTAATTCACATCTCTCAGGGCTTTCAAAAACTGTTTCGAAATGAAGCTAAGTGGTGGTCCTTGTTTGTAAAATTGTGATTTACTGTGCAGTTGGTACAATGTTGCATGTAATTGTTTTACTTTGTTGTAAAACTACTTGAGCTCCAATTTTCTGCTCATATTGTTTGACAAAAATCTTGGCAATGATAGGGAAGCACTAACTTAGAGGCTATTCTGATCATAAAGAAGCCTTGGCGAACCCTAAAAGATTCATTTTTAAATGAAGGGTGGGTTATGTAGAATTTATTTCTTATGTTCTATTTTCATGTTGCAATTGAACTTGCAGTTAGTCTCATGTTTATTACAAGACGCATATACCTTTTCTTTTTTATAATTTAATTCTTTTATTTTTATAAAATAGGCTTTACATATATAAATATATATATATATATGTACGTATGTATATGTAGATATCTTTAAGTACTTTGGAAGCTAGGCGACATTTGGTAGAAAGTGCTCTATCTTTAAATTTCTTGATTGGATTAGAGTTCTATATTAATTGATGGTGGTCCATTCTTGCTAATATACTTATATGAGAGAAAAGGTTCAGAAGATAATAGGTCATGACATAAGCTGCTTTGTTAACTGACAGTTGATTTACAATTTTCCAGAGGAGCTCTTTGCAGATGCTGGAATACTTGCAATTGAACATGCTGATTTTGCATAATTTCAATGACCATTGTTTTTTTAGTTGTAATACAAGTCCTTTATGTAGTACTCTGCTTATGCTTATTTGTTTTAATCCAGGGAGTGCTAAGAATGTCTACTACTGGGAAAAGGAAGTTATGTAAAAAGGGATTTGCAATTGAAGATAAAGACCGGCAATTAGTTCTTGACTCACCAGCAAGGAATACTAGAAGCTATGCAAAACTTTGAAGGGGTATGAAAACCCTCTACTTAGTACCAATTTGTTTTAAGCATACCATTATATGTAGACTACATGCTCATATACTTAAAAGTATTTAGGTGTAGCTGTGAAGTATCTATAATCTTTAGTGTAGTTTCTCAACGATTTGGACGTAGCTTCTCCAAGGTTAGTATTCTTTTATCTCTGACTCTCATGATTGTATGTCCATTACTGAAAATGTGACATACTTTGGACATTAGAATTTTAATTGTGTTGTTACTTGGCAATCAAGATGAAATTTGTTTTGCTGGACTAATTTTGTGACAGGTCAATAGTTACTTTGCTAGAGGAGATGACCTTTTTGTTGGAGCATTTTGTCAAGATGCATTATTTACTTAACCATTTCACTTGGCTAGACGTTTTGGATACTTTGATATCTCTAGCTATGTCAATTTTATTTTCCGATTTGTGCTATAATTTCTTTCTTGTTATTTTTTTTTGGGTGATAGCATCCCAACGAGTCACCTCAGATTAATCTTATAGAGTCAGAAGGTCTTGATGAACAAAGGCAAAAGCTTTTAGTGACTTACATCCGAGACAAAGCGAGTGAACTATCTTCTTGTTTAATGCTCGTGGAATTTGACTTGGGAAATCATTTCAGTGGGGTATTATTTGAAAAATTGATGGGTTGAAACGATGTAATATAACTAAAGATTTTGAAGTTATTCAATTATAGATGATAGATAAATTAATGCAATCCCACATTGATTTTGGGCAGAAAATGCGTCTTTGAAATCATTAATGGAGTCTTGAAATCTCTTATTCTGTCACCTTTCTCATATGAGAATATTTTATGGCTATGTTTCTAAACCTATTTTACTTTCCTCATTCTACAGGCTTAACAGCGGCGATGACTTTCTTGTAGAAGCATTTTGTCAAGATGGAAGGATTTACTTCACCATTGCACTTAGACGTTTTGGAGATGACTTCTATGTTTTCTTTACTTGTTTTGAATGTTAAAGTTTTAGACACTGTATGAATTATGTTGTAGACGTAATTTTATTGACAGCTTGGTAGATACTGATAACAATTGATATGTTGAATGTTTTTATGTTTTAATTTGAATGTTCCTATTTAGATATATCACATATCTCGGAATTACCATTTATTTGAATGAATTCAAAAGGATATTAATAATAATTTTAAAAAGTTACAATAGCATGAACATAACAAGGAAAAAAAGTTATTAATCTGTATTGTAGCTATGCTAAAGAGCTGTAAGAGGATGAAAATAACTTTTCTTACACGCTATAATACTTCAATTCTATAGCGTTTTTTATAACTCTCTTGAAACGCTATGTTTTCTTAAGACCTATAATAGCGCCCGCTGTCCTAGCGCTCTAAAAAGCGCTATTGATAGTGATTAATAGCATTTTTCGTCAGCTACAAAAGGTCTTTTGTGGTGTAGTGTACATTGATACTAATATAAGTTTTAAATGTATGCCTATTTCTGTAATTTCCATTTAAATCTTCTTTTCTCCATTTCTTTTCTCATGAGCTCTTTAAATATATAGAACATATAAACTTACAATTTTAATTTCAAAAATAATAAACACTTGTCCACTAAAATACATAACTTTTAGAACAACAACAACTAAATTCATCGTCACAAATATCATATCATATAAAAAAATGACGTATTTAACAGATATGAATAAGAAAATATGGCTCTCTCATTTGACATCTAAGGTTCAATTTTCATTGTTTGCAGTGCCAGTGACCAATAAATTGGGACTTGAAGGATGCCACTAATCTCATTTTTTATCCAATAAAAAATTGTTAGGGATAACATTATTTTAGTATCCTCTATCATAGCGAAACATATCACTGTTATTCTGTATTCTTAATAATATTACAATAGTACTTTCACCTTTAAAGAGACATTCTTTTAGTATCTTAAGATTGATTTTTAGAACATAAATGTTCATTCTACCCACTTTACTAATTAACAATAAACAGGTTATAATTTTTTTAAAAATCTAAAAATACTTTAAAACGTTCAGAAATTAAAAAATTAGAATACGATAACATGTTTTTAAAAATGGTGGTTCTATTCACACTCACAACTTTTACTCTTCACACCCACATTTTAAATACACACCCAACTTAATTTTGAAAGAATTAAATTTACTTTTTACACATCCCTCTTACTATTTTCATAAGATTATTAATTCTTAATCTTTTTATTCCATACCCACCATTTTATCTTAATTTGTTATTTTTAATATCATCATTTCTTTATGTCTATTTTTTTATAAAATTTTGAGATGAAGTCTTTTCTCATAGGCTTTTTTTACGAACACCCCTTTTTTATGAACACCCCTCAACTTTTCAAAGTTAACAATTTGGTCCTTTTTTTGGCAATTGGCCCTTTCGACTTTTAAATCTTTGCAATTATGGTCCAAATCGAAAAGGATGTATATTTTTTTTAACGATTTTGATCATGTGACGTGCATGCGTGCATTTGTAGAGGGCAACGAAAGTCATTTCTCACCCTATATGTTCGGCTATATTGATTTTAGAGTCATCTAATATGTCTGAACACAACAACTGTTATAAACAACTCTTGGTTTTCAAGAGTTATTGCCTTCAATAAACGCTCCAAGGGTGAGAAATGACCTTTTATTGCCCTCAACAGACGTTCACATGTGCATCACGTGATTAGAATCATAAAAAATGTTATTTTAATTAGACCTTAATTTCAAAAAATTTTAAGTTGAACGGGCTAATTGCCAAGAAAAAATAATTAAGACCAAATTGCCAACTCGAAAAATTGGAGGAATATCCATACATAAAAAAGCCTTTCCTCATCCATAAAGAAAATTTACTATTAATCATATAAATAAGAATAAAATCTTAAAATATTTAAACAATTCACGATGTGTCAAAAATTTAATTAAAAAAATAATCTATCAAGATAGAAAAATAGAACAACATATTATGGTATGAATAGAACTACCATCTTAGAAAATATTTTTAAAGTTTTAGTTTCTATTTAATTAATAAAAAGGACAAGTGACAGATTGAACATTGTAAGTCTTAAAAAAGTTAATCTTAGAGTACTAAAAAAACATACAATTTTATTATCATTAAAAATATAAAGTACTATTACGTTATTTCTCTATGTATACACTAGTGGATTACTCGTGCATTTGCACGGATATGTAATAGTTTAATTAACAATAATTTAAATAAAATAAAAATAAAAATAATAAAAAAAAACAAAACTAATAATTATTTACATTACATCTATTTTTATAATTAAATGAGATACATATGTTTCATCAGTATATACTGAGAAGAATATCTTACACTTTTCAATTGAATAAGAAGCAGAAACTAATCATTATTTACATTACATCTATTTTAATAATTACATGAGATACATATTTTTATCAGTGAAGACTATCTTCACATTTTTCAATTGAATAAGAAGAAGAAAAAGATAACACAAACATAGAAATAGAAAAAAGGACGTGCGAAGCCCAGGATGGCAAAAAAGTGGAGACATAACAAAAATTTTCAAAGAGAAGCCCAGAAACATAAAATGAGGAAAACAAAGAGGACGTGCGAAGCAGAAGAACGCATGAACAAAAGAAAAAAGGAATCATAGAACACATCCACAAAACAGAAGACAATACATTCTAAAAAAATTCGATGGAAGGAAGGATAAAACTATCTGTAATATTTAAAAAAACACAGTAATAATAAGAATTTAGATAAATGAATTATATATTAAAAAATTAGTTCAGGTATTAATTCTTTACTTCTACCAACATACATTATAGGTAATGGAGAAATGACTGAGTAATATCTTTGGCTACCAACTAAATTATTTGCATACATTTCAAATAATCTGGGCAACATCAAAGGCAACAAAATCATTACTAACAATTACCTGATACATGGCAACAGAAGGAAAAAAAATACTTCATCATCGCCAGATAAGGTAAGTATTAAGAAATTAGTTCAGGTATTAATTCTCTATTGCTACCAATATATATCATAGATAATTGAGAAATGAGTGAGTAATATCTTTGGCTACCAACTAAATTATTTGCATACATCTCAAATAACCTGGCAGAAACAGGAGAAGTAAGAAAATAAACAGATAAGGTAAGAAGAAATCAGAAAAAAAGAATTAAAGCAGAAAACAATATGAGACAAAAAGTATGATTCGAAATGTGATGAACAATTGCAGTCTAACAACGGTGATAAAAAATGAATAGAATGAAATAAATTATATACAAAAATTGTAACTAACAAATCTTATAAAAACTAAAGCCAGTGATAATAAATAGGAGCAATCACTTTAACATTAAAAACTTACCTCCCGATAGTAACAACATAATCAATAGTAACATCATTATCACAACATAATAAAGTTAAGAGATAAATTTACAAATGAACAGATTCATATAACCGATCTTATCAATATAATAAATAAGTCCTCTAAAACAATAAAGAAACAACTGTAAAAATAAATAAATTACGACCTCAGTTGAAGAAGAACAATAGAGAAGCAGACCCAGTAGGACAACTTAGAGTCCAAAACAGAGAGAAGCAAACAGAAAAATCCACTATTGAAAACTGATCAAGGCAAAGAGATGAACCAAAGATCTAGAAGACAGTTACAATGAGAGTAGAACCTCAATACTACTAAGATTTATAAACGAAGGTTATAAGAGAATGTATTATAAATGTTGGAGAAGGAAAACAGATAAAAAAAGAGAAACCGTAATAATAAGATAAAACACAATAGTTATATACAAAAAGAACAAATTTTTGATGAAGCACTGATAGTAATTGTTGGGAAAAAAATATCAACTGAGGTAATCATTAGTCAACAGGTGTCACGAAGCATGAAAACCACCGAGAAACCGAACGAATAATGAACAGACAGTAAAAATTTGTGTTATACGAAATTACAGTAAAAAAAATACGTGTCAAAACAATATTATACATACTATAACAATGTAAAAACTATCTAGAAACTAAAAGAAACAACTATATCAAAAACTAATCCAGAAGATAAGAGAAGCAAATCATTGAAAGCGTAAAAAAAAGGGAAAAAAATCAACCAATAACATCATATACAAAAGCCATAATAAAAAAATAAAGAACATAATTTTCTTTCCAAAAAAAGAAAAGAACAGATAAACAATGTAAAAACTGTCTACAAACTGAAAGAAGCAACTATATCAAAAACTAATCCAGAAGATAAGAGAAGCAAATCATTGAAAGCGTAAAAAAAACAAAAGAAAAAAAATCAACCAATAACATCACAGACAAAAAGCATAGTAAAAAAGTAAAGAAAATAAAATTCTTTCAAAAAAAAAAGAACAGACGAAAAAAGAAAAAGAGAAAATGTTCTCTGAACAAAAAGGATAAAAAAAACCTAAAAAAAGGGGGAAAGTAAAAAATTCTGTAAAGAAAAAGAACAAACAAATGCAAAAAAATGAAAACAAAAATTGATTACAAAAGTGTTTTGCAGAACAACAAATCAGAAGAGATCTGCAAATCACTGGAAGAAAGAACAAAAGTAAACTAAAAATAAAAACTGAAACATAACCCATAAGATTAACTCATATATTACATAACAAACCGAAACAAAGACCCAAAAAATCTCAAAGGGAAACTTTTTTTAGAAAAATAACCCTAAAAACTAAAAATATTCAGACGGCAAAAAAGTGGAGAAACAACAAAAATTTTCAAAGAGAAGCCCAGGAACATAAAATGGGGAAAATGAAGAGGACGTGCGAAGCAGAAGAACGCATAAACAAAAGAAAAAAGGAACCATAGAACAAATCCGCAAATCACTGGAAGAAAGAACAAAAGTTATCAAAAAAAAAAAAAAAAACAGATTCGAAGAGAAAATCCCTAAAATCACAAATCACTAGAAGATTGATAAAATTTCTAGAGAAAAGGAAAACCTAGAAACTCCACCGAAACATAAGGCATAAGATTAACTCATATATTACATAACAAACCGAAACAAAGGCCCAAAAAATCTCAAAGGGAAATTTTTTTAGAAAAAGAACCCTAAAAAACTAAAAATACCCAGACGGTAAAAAAGTGGAGAAACAACAAAAAAATTCAAAGAGAAGTCCATGAACATAAAATGGAGAAAACGAAGAAGACGTGCGAAACAAAAGAACACATGAACAAAAGAAAAAATGAATCATAGAACAAATCTGCAAATGACTAAAAAAAAGAACAAAAGTTAACCAAAAAGAAAAACAAAACAACAGATTCGAAGAGAAAATCCCTAAAATCGCAAATCACTGGAAGATTGATAAAATTTCTAGAGAAAGGAAAACCTAGAAACTCCACCGAAACATAAGCCATAAGATTAACTCATATATTACATAACAAACCGAAACAAAGGCCCAAAAAATCTCAAAGGGAAATTTTTTTAGAAAAAGAACCCTAAAAAACTAAAAATACCCAGACGGCAAAAAAGTGGAGAAACAACAAAAAAATTCAAAGAGAAGTTCATGAACATAAAATGGAGAAAACGAAGAAGACGTGCGAAACAAAAGAACACATGAACAAAAGAAAAAATGAATCATAGAACAAATTTGCAAATGACTAAAAAAAAGAACAAAAGTTAACCAAAAAGAAAAACTAAACAACAGATTCGAAGAGGAAAACCAAATCGCAAATCACTGGAACAAAGAACAAAAGTAAACCAAAAACAAAAACAAAAAAACACATTCAAAGAGGAAAACCCTAAAAAGCAAAGAATACCCAAACGACCCAAAAAAATTGATAAAATTCCCAGAGAGAAGAAAACCTACAAACTCCACCGAAACATAACCCATAACATTAACTTGTATATTACATATCAAACCGAAACAAAGTCCCAAAAAATCTAAAACAAAAATTTTTTTTAGAAAAAGAACCTTAAAAAGCTAAAAATACCTAGATCGCAAAAAATGCAGAAGAAACAACAATTTTCAAAGAGAAGCCCAGAAACATAAAATGGGGAGACGGCAAAAAATGAAGAGACAACAAAAATTGTCAAAGAGAAGCCTGGAAACATAAAATGGGGAAAAGCATGGAGAACGGTATTAATCCCAGAAACCTCACGAAGAGTAAGAGAGAGAAAAAAGGAAAAAATAAATGGACTGAAGTGAAGAAATTCAGAATGTTCGCAATGAGAAAAGAAAGACAAACCGAAGGATAAGACAAAAAACCTAAACAAAAACAAAAATAAAAATAAAAAATCAAGGATAAAACGGTAAAAATAACTAAAAAGACACAAACAATATAAAAAAAGCTCGAACAGAAAGAAATAAGGGTAAAATTAGAACTGCAACTCCTCCTTTAGTAGTAGTATGTATAATGGTGTTAAAATGATTTTATCTCAGTTTTATAATTTGAATAAGAAAAATAAAAAACAAATTCCTAATAGGTAGTAATCATGTGAAAAAAAGGGCGTCAGACGGGAAAAGCTCATCAGTGACTACCGGCTGCTCCTGTCCCCCTGTGCGAGCTCAGTCGAGCATTTTTGGCGTCGCCGAAGCCGCTCCCTCGCCCCAGAACGCAGGAAGCCGATTCCCCATTCAATTTCAAGCCACCTGCACGCCAAGCTCCACCACGGTTGGTTTTCTTTGTGTAACTTCTTGTAATTTTTGTTTAAAGTTGTGATTTTGTGGTATTTGAGGAGGTGATTTTGAACATTTCTGTTATGATATGATCTTCAATTCTCTTTGCTTCTTCAATTCTAGGATGGGATATCATGGATTTTACATATCTTAAAGTGGGTTTGCTTTGGAATGCAAAATCTTAGCTCATTTGGGTTATGTGATTGTTATAATTTGCTAGCAAAATGGGTTGCCTTGTGAAGACAAGATTGAGAGATTGAAGAGTGGGAACAATGGAGATAATAAACATGCCTATTTGGCGAAAGTAGAAAATAATAGAGCGACTATAAGAACGAAAAGAACTTCAACTGTGCTCGTCATTTTTGTTTGAAGTTGAAGTTGAGTTTATAGAGTATTGAAGTATTGTGTTCGAAATATTAACTTCAAGTTTTACTCATGAAATAGAAACTAGTTTATGGTATTCGTTTTATGGTTGTATTTGTTGATAGCTGCTTGGTGCTTATGGAATTTTTTTCGTTGTTGAAAATTGCTATAGTGATTTTTGGTTGATATTGGTGAAAATTGTTATGTCACTTTTGTAATTAGTTATTTTGTGATTATTTGTTGAGTATTTTACCGGTTTCGGAAGATTGATATTAGTTTGATTTGTTTGATATTAGTTGGAAATTGTAATAAGTTCATATTTGTGAGATTTATTTGAGATTTGTGAAATTGGTTTGATATTTGTTGGAAATTGGTATGATTATGGTGTTGTAAACGTTTGATTCATATGATCTTTTTATATCAGATCTACAAGCAATATGGCCCCAACATTCGACAGCATAATTTTTGTCTTCATATTTTGATTTATAACAGGCTATGTAATTTTTGTCTTCTATTGTGACTTGTTTGACTATTTAACTGTTTTATTTATGTTGTGACTTACTTTGCTCTATATAATGCTTCAAGATATACTTTCGGTTAGACATGTTTCTATGTAGTATCTATTTTAGCGGATGGAGAACATCTCTATTATCTTCAAATATTAGAAGTGTAAATTGTCCAACAATATTACTATAAAAGAAAGGGACAATCAAAGAAAAGAAGGAACAACAAAAAACATTTTTCTTTCTATTAGAGTGAAAATTGAGGTTACAAATGTGTGAAATTCATTTAAGCTAAATTTTTGGTGCAAAGTAAGGGTCAAAGCGTCATTTTTCAGCACTGTATATAGCCGGAAAAGTTTTCTGATCCAGGGAGGGGAATCTTGGGCATTTTAAAAAATATTTAACGGTCAAATTATGGTTTTCCGCCATGGTCATCTAATGGAGGGGTGTTTATATATATATATATATATATATATATATTTAAAACAAGGGGTGTTAACATAATTTCGTTTGGTGAAGAGTGTCTGTTATATCGACAAAACATATGGGGTGTAAGTGTAAAAAGCTTTTCATTTAGGGCTTATGTCTTGATCTGCCTTGAGGATTACGCCTGCCTCGGTTACTGATTCTGCCTTTTAAAACTATACTTTTGTCTATTGTTTGTTGGTTTTGACGGGAAGATAATGATTTAAGTTTGTTTTTTGGCATAAAAAGCAGCCTTTAGGAGGTGATACTTCTGTTCAAGGACAAGCAAAAATGGAGTAATAACAGGTATTTTCTGAATTGTACAATTTGCCACACCAGAGATAAGATATTTCATTCTAAGTGATGAAACTTGGAAGGGTTTACATTAGTCTAATTACCCTTACAGGCTGTGTTGTTGCGACAGGTTGTTCACAAGATGCCCTTCAAAACTGCCCAAATCCGCCTTGTGAGTTCTCATTCTGAGGTTTATGAACCGTGTGACGATTCGTTTGCTCTAGTCGATGCATTGCTAGCAGACCGATCTAACCTAATAGAACATAAACCGAAATTTTGTATGGAAGTGGGTTGTGGAAGTGGCTATGTTATCACTTCTCTTGCTCTTCTTCTTGGGCATGAGTTTCATGGGATTCACTATTTCGCCACGGATACCAACCCACATGCAGTGAGAGTGACTCGTGAGACAATGGAAGCGCACGGGGTTCATGCTGAGTTGATATCCACTGACATCGCTTCTGGGTTGGAGAAGCGTCTCGCCGGATTGGTTGATATAATGGTTGTGAACCCACCTTATGTCCCGACCCCTGAAGATGAAGTCGGTCGTGAAGGAATAATCTCTGCTTGGGCTGGAGGAGAGGATGGCCGTAGTGTTATTGACAGGATATTGCCTGTTGCTGATAATCTTTTATCTCGTAAAGGCTGGTTATACCTTGTTACTCTTGAATCAAACCATCCCTTGCAGTTATGCCTTCAAATGAGAGAAAGGGGATATGCTTCTAGGATTGTCGTACAAAGATCAACAGATGAAGAAAGTCTTCATATAATCAAATTCTGGCGGAATTTCGATAAAGAGTGAAAATGAAATTAAACAGTTGCAGAGCATTTGTTTCATTCCCTTTTTTGAGGGGGCTTCAATTTTCTGCACTATACTGCTATGGAAATCACTTTTACAGAAGTAAATTATATGAATGATGAAGTGGTGAAAGGTTTTTATGCGCTTTTAAAATGCGTTTGGCATATGGGAAAAACTTATTTGATTATTGAAAAGCAATGAAGATGTTTCTTATAGAAGTTATCGTGTCTTTTATCCTCTATAATATTGTGTTCTTACTCAGTGGCCCATTGAAATGACTACTATGGAGGTTCCTCAACATAAAAGTCAGTCATTGTTTTTTTTTTTTTTTTTTAACTTTGTCAACTAGCATGACTCGTTTCATTAGGCATTAGTCAAGACTCTGAGTTAGTTTGTAATGGCATCCCTTGAATAGTCATATTGCTCACTCAAATATTTTCCTCTATTGCATTTAAATTATTTTTAATTATCTCCACACATGACTGACTTTCTTGATTTATGCACAGTTTGAAGCAATTCGAATCTTTTTTTTTTTTTTTTTTCTCATAAACGTAATTGCATAGGAATTTATCAGATTTTTTTAGGCATAATTGTTAGAACATTTGCTCTGTGACCCCATTTGCGAGCCCCCACAAGATAGATCTCTCACTGTGTATTCTCTACTTATCCACCTATATTGGTATCGGGTGAGGTCGCAGGGCTGGTTTGAAACTAAAATATTTTTTCACCATTCATTATCCAATCTAAACTTCATGTAGATCCCTTACAAATCCACGAACCCTATCCAGTCCAAACATCGTTTAGCATCTAATGATCTAAATTAAATGGATGATTAAATTAGGTCGGTTGGGTTAAATCAGTTTGAAAGGCAGAGAAATTTTAAGTTGAGTGTATATTTTGATTCAAGAGAATGGAGACTATCCAATTTGAATTTTCTCAAGGGAGTAGATTTTTGTTTTGTTAAGTCGTGTAATAGATAGGTAACCCCTACTTCTTGCCCAACTTTTAAACATTTCTAATGCATAAAAATTATTTGTATGCAAAATACCATATAAAGAATATTGTGTATAAGCATTTATTGGAGTGGTTTAATTCTCATTGGATGTTGAAATTCCCAATCAGCCAACTGATTTAATTCAATTAGATTAGAATTGGATTGAATTTGTTAAATTGAATTTTGTGCTTAACCCATAATTTTGTGTACAAGTGCCTTCTCGTTGAAGATTGCTTGAGCTATCTCTCGTTTAGTTAGAGGCTTTTCTTCATTTTTATTTTCCAAGGTTTTTTTTAATCAAATTTACAACCTTATACATTGAATGACTCAAGTCATATTAGTTTTTTCTCTATCATAAATTTAAATTTAATTTTTTGCTACATTATTTTTCTCACATACACAACTTAAATCATGACTTGAGTTGTGTAAATGAACACACCCTACAAGTTTCAAAGTTGGTATTATCATTTTAGTATTTTTATTTTGTTTTTTTATTTTTTTTTATTTAATATATATTAGCTTCAAGAATTTGCGTTCTAAACTAGAAAAGATCTTGCACATTTGGGCAGTTTGTAATTGTTTTTTGCCTAACAAAGAATGTGATAGACATTAAGTTAAATTTGAGTCTTTGGCATAATAAAAACAAGCTTACTTTAAATTTGCAATTTATACCAACATAAAAAAAGGAGTAAATAAATTCATCCACAACCAAAGAAATGAAAAAGAAAATTGCATTGGGATTTGAGTGGGCCCGTTTTGCAGTAGGTAACACAAAATCTGAAACACCTTGTTGTCAAGACTCAACAAAATCATCAATTAAACAAAAACCAAGTAAACTTCTTGTCTCTAATTTTTCCTCTTATAGTTGGGATATGTCAAATTCAAATTCCACATAGGGCACATTTCATGAACTCTTCTAATCGTCAAATGTGCTCATAAATCCACCAATAAACCCAGCTCCATTACAATCTCCACATAACATCTCCTTTTTACCCCTGAAGGCAAAAACATAAAAAGTCAAATGATAAGAAAATTGAGAAGAAACAGTTAATATGGATTCCAAACCAAGCTTAACTATTGAGAATCGTAAAATGCCGTAAATTTTGAATGAGCTTGAGATAAATTCCAAAAAACAAACACATAAATAAATAAATAAATAAATGTTATTGTCTGTTCAAGGATGCCAAAGCGTAGCACAACAGTCACAGAGAGCAAAAGAGGAAAAGATCGTTCAAAGCAGGTACCGGCAAAGCCAACATATTGCGCCCGCTTTGAATTGCCCGTTGAAGTGGTCCACCGAATTAACTCCGGTTCCTTTGCACTGAGAACACGCTACAGCACCTGATAGTTGAATGAAAAATTAGATTCCTGGCTACTTGAGATTCTCAGCTACTATATGTAAATAAAGCACATGGAGTGAAATTTGCTCACAGCAACAAAGACAAGTTCGGAAATAACATTGGTCAGTAGAACAAGAATTTTTGATGAAAGATGAGTAAAATCTAATCACAGGACAATTTCATTTGCTGCAAATTCGTAAATCATGCCAAAATAAAAAAAAACAAAAAACAAAAGACAAAAAACGTATTGATAAAAAGTTCTAAATGTTTTCTCTGGCTTGCTATTGAGTGACAACATAAAAATAATCTGTACTCACAGAAGGGAAAAAGATGCAAGTAATGAACAGTTATTCAAGAATGCTTGTTTAGAGTTTCATTCTAAACTATCAAATAAATACTCGGCACAAATTCACATTTTCCCACCGTATTTGAGATGTAATACTCGAGAAGCCCACAAGTCAACAAGCAGCCAAACTGTCCTAAATCCAAGCGCAAATAAAAGAGTAAAAGGAGTGATAACCAGGAATTCACTAACCATTTCCATCACAATTAGAACAGACAATGCTATTTGGCTTGGTACCTTTAGTAGCCTGTAAGATCAAAGAAAAAATTTTTAGTGCACTTCCAATTAATCTTCTAGCTAATTTTACCTTTTCTTTTTATATTTTTCTTCTAAATCTGATTTCTTAATCTGTGAAGCAACAAGTTTTCTCAAACTTCAATAAACGATCAACTAGCTCTTCCATCAACTTTGTTATAATCAATCTTATTAGCCCCTCGCAATGGCCTTTCAATTTCCCTAAGACTTTTGCCTTGTTTTATTTGTTTGTGGTATTTATCAGCTTCCAATCTAAATATTCCCTTCTAGTTTTGCAAGAACAACCATATAATAACCCACTTTGAATATGAACATTTCCTTAATAGTTCAAAATTGCCCGGAAACTTTTAAGCTTCCTAGAATGCATTGGTGAAAACAATTGAGCAGAAGAACTCAAGCCCACAATGAGATAGCTCAATATAATTAAAAAACAAAAAAGACAATACCAAAGTTTTCTTTTTCTCGTTTTCTTTCTCTCTTTTTTTTTTTTTTTAAATAAGTGGGCAAATGGGTTGTCTTGGAAATCTCTCACCTTGACCTCTAAAGACTGAAACTTTGAGGCTTTTGAGTGCTGAAGGACTTCGTTTGCCCGAAGAACCTTCCCAGGAACTGAATTCCCAATGAACAACCCTGTCACAGATTGCCCAAAATCAATATTTATTTAAAATGAATGTCACATAGAAAATCAACGAGAGAGAGAGACCTGGTTTTTTTGAGGGCTTCAAAGAAGAAACAGGAGTGAAACAAAGAGAGCTTGCCATTTACAGAGAATTAAAGTTTGTGTATTTTTTTTTTCCCCTTTTTGAGTCGGAAATTTATCAGACAAACTCACCAATTTAAGAGAGTGAAAGAAGATAAGGCATTGTTTGTTGCAACTCTCTTCTCCAGAGTGGCAGAGCCTATATCATCATTACCTAAATACCCTTACGGAAAACCCCGTCTTATGTCCCAGAATGGGGGTAAAACTGATATTTCACTCTCCACCCTTTCATTGCCATTACTCGGACTTCTCCTCATAAAAACTACCAAAATAAGGGGAAAATAATAATATAAATTAGGGAAATAAAAAAAAAAACCCAAGAAAAAATGACGAGCATTCTCTTGACAGCTCCTTGCTCTCTTTCTTTGCAAAGTATGTTTGGTCTTTTATTAAGTTGATTATCAGCTTGTTTGCTTATCTGGGTTTTAATAATTACATAAGTAAATTCAGTGATTGGACTAGTGGATATTGAATTATAGGCTGCAAATTTTTTGTACAGTTCTTTGGTAATGAACATATGTATACTGAGCTGATTGAGGTTTCTCTCTCTCTCTCTCTCTCTCTCTCTCTCTCTCTCTCTTTTTCCTTTTTTGTTTTTTTTTTCTTTTTCCATTTCCAACAGATAGGAAAGTGGGTGTAACGAATTTCAGAAGCTCATTTTATGGAAAACTCATGAATTCTCAATGTTCCCTGGGAAGAAAACTAAGTAGAAGTTGCGGCAACTACCTTGTGGTGGCATCAGTGGTCTAATACTTCACCCTCCTACAGTTATATTTTTAGACAAACTCTTACGTCGTTTCCTATGTGTAACATGATATTTGTTTTATATAACATGACTTTGTAGAGGTATAACAACAAGAAATATGTCTAAAACAGATCAATGTTATACATTTTTAAAGTCGTTATTAAGTACAATAAATGTCATGTTATACCTTCTACTTCTACATAGTATAAGATTGGTCATTCACGAAGCGCTGAAGGGAAAAACTATATTTTGATGCCGTCTCATTGCATCAAGCGTAGCTAGTACAATTTTACAATACTTTAGATTTGAATTACCATGACTAATAATATATGGATTTTGGCCAGAATTACCAAAGGAATCATTAATTTTTTAAAATGATCCAATGGGTTGTGCACTTGTGCTAAACAAATGCTATGGTAACTTTAGATAGGATTTTGTATGTGGAACTATATTGTCTGTGCCACTTTTATAGTCTTTATTTTCATGTTTGGCAGCTTGGAAGGAGAAAGGCTAAGACCAGAGAGACGGTGATTCCTGACCCAGATTACAGAATTCCTATTGTTCTACTAGGTGGGTTTAACGTTACTTTTCCCATTTTAAACATGCATAGTTTGTATTAAAGCCTTTAAAGAGTGCTTTTTTTCTATTTGTAGTCAAAGTTTAGCTATATAATATCAGCAAAATTCTTGACGCAGATAGATATATTGTTGTATCATAATTCACCTTTTAACGGCTTCAAATCAGGTCTAGCTGGTGGGTTAGCTTATACGGATAATTTGGTACCTGCTGTACCTGTGGGTCTTCTTGGCTTACTCTTGTTGTTCCAGGTAAGTTACATGACAAGCATTGAAAGCAATGGCCAAGCAAGTAGAATCCTTAAATAGCCTGTAGAGATAAATGATTTCTACTCAGGTACAAAGAAAGAAAATGGGGGTTCCAATGGTGAATTTCGAATGAAGTGAAATTAAATAGTGATCGATTTTGGATGAGCTTCAGTTTGTTAAGATTCCATACATTTAGTCCACTAGTCTGCCTGTTCTTTTTCTTTGCTCTCTTTTATACTTCACTGCATTGATTATTTCTTCTCAAATCAGCTAATACTCTTATTGTTCTTTCCTCCAGACTACAAGAGTCAGATTTGTATTCGATGATGAGGCCCTGGTTTGTTTCTCAATCTTCTATAGAAATTTGTTTTTGATGATTTTGAAACAGTGTTATGCAAAATTAGCTCGTGCATATTCTATCTACATTATTGTCTCGAAAAAAGAATGCATTAGAATTTATGATTTTTCTTAGCCAATTTTTACTACAGCTTCTTAATGGGTGCGTTTGGAATTGGTTCCAAAACGTTTTTGTTTTCTGTACGAAAATGAAAATGAAAACGTTTTCATTTTCATTTTTGAATTATTTCTGAAAATGCGTTTGGTAGTTTTATTTAGAGATTGATTTCAGTTTTAAAAAAAAACTGAAAATGCGTTTGGTTTCATTTTTGAAAACATGTAATAGGTATTTAATATATTAAATAAATAATAATTGAATCCTAAATAAAAACACTAATAATTAATAAAATAATTAATAAAATATGGAAATTACAATATATTAGCTTAAATTATTATCGCCTATACGAATCCCACATTTGATTAGCTAGATGATCCCTAAAATCAACCATGTAATTACGTTGTTGCCAACCATCCATTTCAGATGTTTCTGCTTCTTGTGCATCCATACCATGTTGTTGTTCCTGTTGCCCTTCTTGTTCTCCCTCTCCTTCAATATCTTCTACGGGCAAATCGACCTCATATTGTCTAAATAGGGGATCATCTCGCGCGTGCAACTTAATTAAATTGTGGATCACACAACAAGCTATTGGTATACTATTTTGTCTTGGCATCCAATAATTTGTCATATGCTTAAGAATTTTAAACCTTGCTTTCAAGACCCCAAAGCACCTCTCTATGCAATTACGCAGTGAGGAGTGATAATAATTGAATAACTCTTGTGGTCCCGTTGGTTGGCCACCGTTTCTAAACTGTTGAATATGGTACCTCTGATCACGAAATGGTGCCAAAAAGCCTTGCGTGTTGCTATAACCGGAATCCACAACGTAATATTTTGGTGGGAGTGGCGCCACGAATGGGTCATCTGGATTTCTTAAAATCTCAGTTAACACTCTGGAATCAGCAGCTGATCCTTCCCATCCGGTATTGACATAAGTGAATAGCATATCAAAACTACACGCCGCCATTGTGTTTTGAGTACACGAATGTTTTCTTCCTCTATAGACTGTCTGTTCATGTGCAGGTGGGATAACCATCAAGTGTGTACCGTCTATTGCACCAATACAATCCTATTAAAATACATAAGGCGTGAGTTACAATTAATTTAAAGTTATTTGTCATATTAGTAGTATATGAGCAGAGTCAGATTGTACCTTAAACCATGGCCAGTACTTAGGGTTGTGTTGAATCTCTGGGGGGACAATGTTCATATTTGGTAGTTTTATAACATCAGGTGCTAACGCAGACAAAGCGGTAAGCATATTATCAAAATGCCGGTGTACTGTCTCTCCAGAATGACAAAATCTATCTTGTATCTCTCTATTGCGATCTGAGTGAGCAACCGTTCTTAAGAACATCATTAGAGATTCTTCTGCCGAAATACTAGAAGAAGGCAGTAGGTTGCGGCCTCGAATTAACTGAACAATTGCTTCGAACGTGTCTCGATGCATACGACACATTTCAAACAAATTTTCGGAATGTCCGTGTAATTGTTCTAAAACATATTCTCGTCCTATTAACGCAGAATTACGACGAGGTTGCCTAGTTCGCCTGTTTCCAACCGACATCAATAATTGGATATAATGTTGTGGTTGTTCATCATCATCTGATGACTGGAGAAAATCAACAGCTCTGACATCAATCTCACTATCTGAATCCATATTAACCTAAAAATGAACAAGACTGGAACTAATCAAACATCCATATAACATTAACTAATTAAACGAAGAACGCCAATGTAATTCAATTCAACTAAAAACAAATAACAAAGTCTAACAAACACAAGTTGGAGAGGAAAATCTGTTTTACATGCTCAACAATACTTAAAAAAAAATACGTCCAAGAGGAAACAAATAAAGAAAACAACACAATAATCATTCCACTAGGCTTCGAATCCATGAAAGATGCCGATGAGCGGGCATTTTCACAAACATCCTCCTAAGGGAAATGTCAAGAGCCAACTGGTGCGCTGCCTTATTATACGCATTGTCCTCTAAATACGGCTCATACCCATTCAACAAATCCATACAGGCTTCAATAGTTGTAGTTGGATCCTCTTTCTGAGCCTCAACTAATGCCATAGTACGGGCTTGCCTATCAGCTAAAAATTGCTGAAACAAATCAACCTTTTGAACAGATGTCTCACTGCGTAGGGTAGCACTCTTTGCCAAAACCTCTATGGCCGTGTCAACTGCACTGATGTTCTTGCCCTTCTTCTTGGATCGAGTAGTAGGACCCTGAGACCGTCTGTTTCTATTGTCTTCTGCACTCCGGACTTCATCCGAGTCTCCTGTACCCTCCTCCACCTCTTCCGGTATTGTGGCCGCCCTTTTCGCCGCATTCAAAACATTGACGGCAGTATGTGCATTCATTGACCCCTGTCCAGTAGCAATAGTCCCAAAAAAAATCTGGGAAAGTTGTACAAAGTGCTGTAAACCCCCTTTCTTGAATTTCTTAGCCTCAGGATGTTTCTGACATTATAAAGAAAACAAGAGTAAATACTCATGTGCAATCCAAACACCAATTCAACTCTTTCATATAACATAAGATGTTAAGAACATCAAAACTTACCGCCACATATGAATCCCATACTTCTTTTTCAGCTGTGACAGTGTTAGTCTCAGAATCCCAACCAAATCCTGTTGTTTCAATTAATGCCTTAAACTCCCTCGTGCTACGTCTAAGCCTATTCCACTTTGCTTTAAGCTGGTCTGCTGTGAAATGCTTACCAAACTTAATTGCTATTTCATTAGCAATTTTCATCCACGTTTTTCTGTCCAAAGTGGATGTTTGAATCCCAGTCTTTGACTCTTCGTATATCAGTTCTACATAAAAATCCTCAATTGTGGCCGGCCATTTCGTATTATCGTCCTTATCACACATCTAAAACAACACTTTCATCATTACAATAAATATCAATTTGTAAAGTATATACACACACAGACCATTAGGGGTGATGGGGGCTGATTTTCAGCCCACATTAGGGCTGATAATCAGCCCCCATTGGGGAGAATGGGGGCTGATAATCAGCCCCCATTGGGGCTGATTTTCAGCCCCCATTGGGGTCCTCCCTGGCTAGGCCCCAAGGGAGGCCCCCAGGGGTTGATTCAGCCCCAATGGGGGCTGA